GCGTTTTATGGTTCTGGAAGGGATCCGCAAACATATTGACGGCTACACACACAACGATATGATTTATACACGTAACAATACAGGGTGTTTATTTGGAAACTTCTCACCGCAGATTAAAAGAAAAAACGCCTAGTCACGTCAAAAGATTTGTCAAGGGGGACAACTTTTCAACCAAAAACTACTTCACCCCCTTTCACCTTCTGCCCCCCAGGGTCATCCCATTAAACATTTTAAATGACAAGGAGTATCGAGTAATAGCTTGTTAGAAAGGTCTTTCGAAGCCTTTTATTTTGACGTTTGATTTTTTAAAATCGGTCTATGTTCACAAGAAAATTAGAAAAATCTTCATTTATCTTAATTTGTTCAGAAGTCTAATGGCGTCAAATCAGGAGATCTAGCAGGCCATTCTATATGCGCTCTTCGCCCTATCCATTTATCTGGGAACTCGTCGTCTAGCCATTGCCGAACCGGAAGAGCATAGTGAGGACGAGCACCGTCTTGCTGGAAATATATTTCAGCCTCGTCAAGTATCGGGTTTTCATCCTTTTCAGTGATAAGCGGATTGATAGTACTTTCCATTAATAAACAATGGCCCAATCACCTTGTTTCCTAAAATTGCCTGCCCATACATTAATTTTTGGGGGGTACTGGGTATGCCCTTCTACAAAAGGATGAGGCTTTTCATTGCTCCAATACCTGCAGTTATGGTTATAAACAAATCCATTTAGATAAAATGTGCATTCATCATTGAAGCAGATATCCCTTACCTGAATGGTATTATCATTAATCGCTGCAGTTATTTGTTCCTAAAAATCAACTATCCTATCGAAATCACCTTCGGTTAACTCTTGAAATATTTTCATTTTGACTCGATGAAATTCATGGAGTTTAGTAACTGTGTTTACAGAGTTTTTTACGTTTTTTATTTGAGTAAATTGAGAAACAAGGGCCAAAACATACATATGCGAAGTTATCTTCCGCGGATGTCTGGCGTTAAACGTGGCGGAAGTTTGCGAGCACATTGATTTTGGGCACCAGAAATTAGAATCATTTCAAATCTTTCGGCTAGTGTGTAAACCCTATTTGGAAGTAAAATGTGAATCAATAAATTAATTTTCACTAACCCAACATTGTCACAAACTGAGCAAATTATTACTCTTAGCAATAAATAACTGAACAGGTATGACAACAAATTATACAGTTCGCCCAGGATGTGTGTTGTTTCGGGTTGTTATATGGCTGTCGCCAGGTCTAATCTTTCGAATTGCTGTTTATATTGGTAGTTTCCGTTTTAAATTATAAGCAAATTGTAGATTTTGCAAACCCTAACGGGAAACATTTTGAACACTTATTGAAATAAAAAGTCATATTTTCGTGTGTTTTTGTTTTCTAACTGAACAAATTAAGATGAATGAAGCTTTTTCTAATTTTCTTGAAAACGACTAGAATGATTTTAAAAAATCAAACGTCAAAATCAAGGAAAAAGACCTTTGAAACAAGCTATTGTATGATACCCCTTGCCGAGGGTGAAGTAGCTTTTGGTTAAGAAGTTGTCCCTCTTGACAAATCTTTTGACGTGTCTCGACATTTTTTTCTTTTAGTCAGTGGCTTTCAATAAATACGTGGTGAGAAGTGTTCAAATGAACACCCTGTATACATGACAGCAGTGATGGGCGCTTACCCGTACGCATTGATCGTCTATAGAGTTTGTTTCCAGAATCTATTGTATTTTGTTTTACAAATGTTCCTATTCAATTTAAAATTATAAATTTGTATATAAATAATAGATGTGTTGGGAAGTTCATCTTCAAACTTTTAACCGTGAGCTATGAAAAAACATTCTCTATGCCTTTTTCTAACACAGTACGTTGTCTACCTCAGTATGAACAACTTTTAATAAATCAAAGTATGTCTTTAAAATCTGTGAAAACCTATAAATACTTAGGTGTCACCATTGATCGCCACTTGAGATGGAATGTTCATATAGCTAACATTACAAATACCTTGCGACAACTCTTATATCGCTTTAAATACTTAAAACATCTCATGGACTACATGCACCTGAAAATGTTGTATTCTTCATTAGTTGAATCACGTCTACGATACGCTATTTTGAGTTGGGGAAGTACCGGATATTGTCATTTGCGGCCTTACTTATCCTTCTGATAAATTATTTTCGGAGACTGTAGTGTTTGACCTAAAACAACTGTTTCTGCATGAATTAATTCAATTCATATACAAACACAAAAACAACTTCAATAAAACTAGCCATGCTGATAGTACTGGATATAAAGGAAACGAAAACTTGAAAATACAAACTTTTCCAAGAAATGTAAGCTTGCGATGGCAGACCTATCTATCATGTAAAATTTATAATTGTTTGCCATAAGTGTACCGTATGTATGCTGATAAAATAAACTCATTGTCTTTGACAAAATCTTTATTCAAAAAATATATTTTTCTAATTGATAGACAAGAGACACGAAATCTAGTAGAAATTATTTACTAGAAATCGTACTACGCTAGTATTACTCCTCCTCGCCCTCCATATTTCTGTAGTTAGTGGAATAAACGTTATTATATAAGCGCTACTCCTCCTTACCTTCCATACTAACAATGTGCTTGTTGTAGAAAATCCTGCTCTAAGGAAAATTTATTATCAAAATTATATCAAAAAATATCTGCCCGTGCACAACCAACTATTTTATTTTCAATGGGCTTTACAAGACAATTTAAAAATTTTCTGAGACTTATAAAACATGTTAACTAAAGATTATTATACCTTATACCATATCTTGATCGATCCGCCTTTAAGCTACGGTCTATTGGCATGGGGACATACATAATCAACTCATATTTATAATTTGGAAATTTTCCAAAAACTGATTCTAAAACCAATGTTTAACAAACTAAAATTGTATCCCACTGATATCTTATACAAAATTATACACGTACCTATATGGCATGAAGCAACTTTATGTCTTACATGTTATTACCAACTATCATAAATTACTAATTAGTAACGACCAAAAAGTCAAACAATCACCACACAAGTCATAAAATATGAGAACGGTTGTACCTAGACCTAATAAATCTATAACACAGTCAGGAAGAAATAAAAATAATTTAGGGATAAATGTGGTATACGAGACAAATGACTATCTGGTATTTTCAAAGTCTACCTGGAAAATTCTGTTCTCATTTAATTAACTAAGGTCTGGCAGTGTCAATACATTTTCGGAATTAGATTTAAAAAAAAATTTCTAAGTCTAATTTGTTCATACACACTCTCATGCGTTTAATTCAGAATATCTACTTAATCAGTTTCGATTGCATGAAGCTTAATACTCTATGAAAATGAGGAAAATTAATGTTGTCCTGCAATTTTTCTACGAGTTACTGATGAAAAAACTGATTATGCATTTGCGGGAAAAAAATAACGAATACAATAAATATGAAATATCGCCTTCTTAAAAATATCACAGAGACGAGTATACAAAAATGCAACCATTTAACGACTCAGGTAAAACTGATGACTGACATACACGTGAAGAAAGGGGTTACTTTTATAAAATTAAAGTATATTTTTCTACGTGTTCAGTGATACTTAAAGTTAATAACAGTATAATTCATATCGGTCGGCCTATATCAGCATATGAGCGGTCATATCGGCCAATTTACATATCGGAAAAACAGGTCGATATTGTCGATATCGCTATCGGTTGATCTCTAGTTTCAATTACAAATATTTCCAAATTCGAGATTTTCATGACATTTCATAATACAACTATAAAAAAATCCAAAACCAGTGATTAGATTTTAATAAACCTTAGCGAGAAACCTCATGTTGTCGCTGTTGTCGTAGAGCAATGGAAACTCAGGAACCGTTGGATTCCTCCTTTGCGTTCGATAGAAAACATCCAGCACCTACCAACCACATAAAACAAACATAAAAAATAGCTATTGTAATAGTCCCTGAAGTTTGACGAGGATTTAATGATTCAATCGAAATTAATGTCAGAACAACGTGTATCTGCTTTGGAGCTATAATTATTGCATATAGAATACGAGTATAGCGTAAAATAAAATAATTCGTTGGAAATGAGCTATAGTGGTCCTTCTCGACTTTAAACGCGATATACAAAAATCCAACCTCTGGAGGAGTGGCGGTGCATCCACTCTGTCGAGCAAAGGCTTATGGAGGAATGTCAGAAAGGCAATGGAACGTCTTAATTGTAGATACTCTAGTTTGAAACCGCGCAGCAGAACAAATTGACAGACCCCCTTTCTGGATATGCGTCATAAATTTTCTGAGTACAATATTTGATAAATTTTCTTTTTCTATGATATTTATATTATATAAAATACCAAAGGAGCGAACTCAAGATTCGGTCGCACCAGCGAAATAAGAGTTTTTAGTACTGCTTCGTTGGAAAAAAACGGCAGTTACTGATTATGAAACCCAGAATCCGAATTGAATCGAGAATATCCCTGCACTCAGGCAGCAGTCTTGTTGTAGGCACTCACAAATTTGGCGACTTAGTGCTGAGCTCGTAATGGCTTTGTTACAGATGGTAATGCCTGTCTGCTATTTATGCATATCCATGTTATCTTTTCCTGTAATATGTCTGTGAGGCAAGGGTATTTTTATTGACCAAATGTTATTGTAGATTGAGGATGTTCTTATTTGGTGTGAAACTCCTCCATCACATCCGATTGAATATTACAATTATTTAACTAAAATAATATTCTATCATGTGCAAAATTTCAGTCTAAGTTGCTCTATTCCACAGACTACATAACCGCGCCAACTCCTCCTTGGATCCCAGATCTCCGTTGGACGACTCGCAACGTCGTCGTACAAACACGTCAGCACCAAAGGGCGGTAGACTACGACACCGCTTTGGGCGGCTGTGGTGGGCGGTGAGCGAACGCAGGGCGGCGTGCGTTTCAGAAAAAACCACGTCCATTTTGGGTGGAGTTAGGACGATCTGGTCGACCGCAGCCAATCGGCGTTAGCATAGAGGGCGTTCGCGACATGCTGCGTCGCGACACCTCGACTATGCTCATCTACAGGTAGGTTTATGTCTGTCAACCAATACGGCGTATAAATGTCAACATAGTGTAAAGCCATTGCTAGCCGTTTTTTACTTTACAGTCCAACCATTAAAAGGATTTACTTGAAAAGCTACAGGGAGATTTTGAAAAGATGATATTATATGTGTATTTATGAAGTTTCTTATGTTCTTCATTTAAACTTTATCTGTACTACCTCTCTCACCTCCATGTTTGAAAAATTCACTAAAATTCACTTTGTAACAATATCTTACCGACACTTTCTACATTCATCAAAAATTTTACTGTATGACAAACTGAACTGAATTTCTTACTATTTATGATCGTATCATTTCTTGTGAGATAAATAGTTTCGTCGTAGAAGTATGGCAAGATTTGCTCTAACATGAATATAAGGAAATCACGGGTTCAAGAGTTTGGTAATTCTATGGATTTAGACATGCCCTTTCGGAATTTGCACTTTGCCACCAGATACCCAACTCCTGAATCCTTTGAAATTTATTTCGTGGAAAATAACAATTGTCAAATCTGACAAGTCCCATATGAAAATATTTCAAGTGTACTATTCCATTCAACCACACCAAATCTGTCGAAAATGTGACTCCCATGAGAAGCACCATTGGAATACTTGCCCGTGAGAAAATTTTCTTAGAATTCGAGAATTGTTTTTATGGAATGTTTGCCGCTTGCAGTGCCCCGTCCCTTTGGACAACTGACGCTCAACGGAGTGTTTCGGCCACGTTCCGACAATATATTTATTCCCGAACTACATGACAAATTCAGCTAGATATAATTTTCAACTCCATGCATATACGAACTTGTTTTTTTTATGTGAACTAGACAAACTTAACTTACGGGGCATTTCCAATGCGGTGTTTTGAAAATGCCCTCCTCATTCCGAGAACAGTCTTGCAATAGCACTCAAGAATATATATGCCACAGTTGATACAGAGTAGATGTAAATGTGAATAAATATTTTTTTTATTCAACAGACAGTACCGCGTCAACCTCGTAGGGTGATTAGCGGCGTGGACGGCACAGTAATGTATATATTGAAGCACATGTCAATGTCTTTGATAAATTTCACAAGTTTATTGGTTTTATGCAGTAACACTTCACTGATTTTTTTTATACTCCAACTACCACGAAGGCCTAACGCCTAAACACCCAGTGGGTACCGTGGGGCTATAGGGGGATACAGGGAAAAGGGGGAACGCCACACGGACTCTGGCGAGGGAACACGTGTGCATGCAACATGCACACATTCTGGCTCCGCCTACGAGATCCGCCGGGTGATACCTCTGCATTTGACAGTCAGAGACCGTCTACCACCTACGGACAATCACAACATCCATAGCCAAGAGAAAAATTTCTCCTGGGGCGGGATTCGAACCCGCACAGCGCACGGCGACTGATCAGGAGAGCGAAGAGTCTACTACTGCGGCCACCGCTGCTGATGTCATTAGAAAGGTGGTTGAGGCTTCTGGCATTTTGATAAGTAGGGCACTCCATCAGGAAGTGAACAACCGTCAGCCGCTGGTTGCAAGTTGAACACACTGGGGCATCGGTTCCTTCCAAGACGTGCTTGTGAGTCACTAGTGTGTGGTCTATCGACTTGGTATCTGTTATAATTTCCCTATGGTTTGTTCGCATTTTTTGATATATCTTGAGGGTTGTGTCGAAATCTGGTAGTGATACTGTCCAGGGTGGAGAGTTTGATGAACAAGGGATAATACTGCGAAAGAGATCTGTATTGAAGTTAGTATCTTTGATTCTTTCTGCCATTGTGAAATGTTTGGTGTTGTCGGCTAAATATGACATTGAAAGCTGGATTATTTCGTGTGCTTGCTGTTCGCGCCGCGTAGTTCAGAGTTAAATATTGTGGCTTAGATGCGGTTCGTTAGCCAGATATGCTGTCAATAGGGTTTGTTTTGAGAAGTCCCATCGCAAGTCTAATTGCTGTTTTGGAGCACATCAAGTTTTTTTTAATACAAATTTTCTTGCAGTTCCATAGCAAATGCTACCGTAATCTATCTTACTCCTTATGGTGACTTGGTATAGTTTTAGCAAAGATGTGGTGTTCCTTCCCCATGATTTATTAGCTAGTACTTTCATGCAGATATTATATATCTGTTATGGAGATTCCATTTCAAAATAGAATCAAATGTCATCCCCAAATACTTGATGTTGTTTGTCATTTTGATTTCGTTATTATTAAATGTAAATGCTGTGTTGGTTGTTTGAAGTTTGGATTTGTTTAAGATTATAAACTTGGTCTTGTCATTTGAGAACTAGAATCCTGATTCCATTGTCCAGTATACTATTTTATTAAGTGTTTCTTGAATTATTGCTTTGCCGGTATATATATTATTAGTGGTTAAGTATATAATCTGGTCGTCGGCATATGAGAGATATCTTATAGGCAGTTTAAAAAGTTTGGTTATGCCATCTATGGCTATCAGAAATAGTGTAGCACTCAGCACAGATCCTTGAGGTGTACCATTTTCTACGCTCTTAGCATTGGATGTGAAGCAGTTCGTTCTAGCTTTATAGTTGTGTTGCTTAAAAAGTTCTTGGTGAATGCTAGTAGGTATATCACCACAGATACCCACATTCAGCATAGTTTTTAGAATTAGATGTTTCCAGGTCATATCAAATGCCTTATGTATATCGAAGACTACTGCAAGTACTTTTTGGTTATTAGCAAAGGCTGCTTTTATGGTGAATTCAAGAACAACAATGTTGTCAATGGTAGAAGAATGAAGTTGTATATATACTAAGTGACATATAAATCCGAACACCCAGTTTAAATGGTTTTATTTTAAGAAAATTTTGTATAAGTACTTAATGAAGCATAATAAGTAAATGATAAAAATTTCAAAATGATTGCTCTGCTTTAAAGCCCTTTGACCTTTAATAATGTGTGGATGCACCCTGATGTGCTACGAATTCTCCAACGCGCCTAGGCATGCTTCTGATCAGGTGGTCAATGTCCTCCTGTGGTATCTCATTCCAGCAACCACCAGCTCCTCTCGAAGTGCTTCTAGAGTCTGAGGAGGACGTTGCAAATTGAGCAATCTCCTACCCATCATATCCCACACGTGCTCAATTGGGGATAAGTCGGGAGATCTTGGTGGCCATGGTAACAATGTGACATCATTATGTTGAAAGAAGTCTATTGTGACTCTTGCAACATGTGGTCGGGCATTATCTTGTTGGAAAGTTGGATCTGCCAGGGTGTCAAGATAGGGTAAAAGATGGGGTTCTAGAACTTCGTGGATATAACGCTGCGCGTTCATGTTACCTCTGATGAAGATTAAAGGTGACCTGGAACCATAAGCTATAGCACCCCAAACCATAACTCCAACAGTGTGATGAACATGTCTTTCAACAAAAATCTGTGGATTCCTCCTTTCATCACGTCGCCTTCTAACCCTGGCACGACCATCGTGCATGCCTAAACAAAATCGAGACTCGTCACTAAAGACAATACTGTTCCATTCCTGATCCCAGAGTGACCGTTGTCTGCACCACTCAAGGCGATTACGTCGGTGTTCTCGAGTTAAAGGGAGGACCCAGTGTGGCGGGTATGAAAACAAGCCAAAACTTCCCATTCGTCGGTAAATACTTCGCATGCCAATAGGTTTTCCGTGTTCTGCAAACCATTTATTTGCAATGGACCTGGTAGTGGAGAAACGGTCACTTAAAGCCAATAATCTTAGGCGGCGATCTTCACGGTCTGTTGTTCTACGGCGGCGTCCAGTGCCCCTTGCTCTTTGCGTACGGCCTTCTCGAAGCCTTGCCTGACAACACCTAACCACAGTGTCTACACTTCTTTGCACTCTAGCTGCAATTGTCCGAAAAGAAAGTCCAGCTTCCCGAAGTCCCACTATACAGCTCCTATCAAACTCACTAAATTGACGAAATCGTACAGGTCTCCGTACTCTAGGCATCGTAACCGATCGTAAAGGATGTCAAGAACCAAAATCCGCCAACGTTGATTCTTTACTGCGGCTGAAATATTCATTTTTAGAGCGTTAGTGAATTAAAAAAAGCAGTATAAAAACCGGAATGTCCAACTGATAAGGCTGAACCTTTTTAACTTGTTATTTACAGTAAGATAAATACATTCAGCAACTTTTATTAAAATAAAACCATTTAAACTGGGTGTTCGGATTTATATGTCACTTAGTATATCTTTCAGCATGTGTTTAGCATTGGATGGGAAGTTTCTTAAAAAAATATATGGGATGTCATCAGGGCCTGGACATGAACATGTCGATGTAGTTAGAGCTTCCTCAAGCTCTTCAATAGTGACAGCGTGGTTGAGCGGTCCATCGTCGTCGGGTACAATTAACTTTTCTTCTTCTGTCTGAAGTTTGAGATGTAAAAATGAGCTATCTAGGTTGTCGTTACTGGATGATGCTTGATAGAAGTTAGCAAAGATTTCTGGGATCTCAGCTTTCTGGGAGACTATTTTCCCTTCGTCTGTTACTGTATCTATTTCTTGATACGTTCGTGCACCACTAATTTTTCTTTTCTTCTTCCACATTTCCGATACCGGGGTTGAGGGTTTGATGGATGATACTTAAGATTGGCAAGATTGTCATATAAATCTGGAACTGTACTCCATGAGAGAAAAGGTGCTGGGGAGGCGTCGCACAGAAATAGATCAATAGATGAGAAACTTCCATTAAAAGCCTTAAATTTAGTGCTGCAGCCGTTATTTAGTAGAATTAGGTTGTTTTGATTGATAATGCTTTCCAGGTCTGCACCATATTTATTAGTACAGTCTGATCTCGAGATTACGTTGAAATTACGAACTATTATTCTAAGTGTAGGGATTTGTTGGATCAGATTGTGTATAAGATTGAAATTTATATCTTTAGGGTGGGGTATGTATATGTTGCAAATGCTTACCTTGGTGTGATGTTTGATAGTTACAGCTATTGCTTCTAACTGTGTTTATTGGTAGTAATTCTGTATGAAAATTGGTCCTAGTTAGTATAGCTACACCTCCAGCTGCTTTTCCTGGGTCTTTACGATCCTTGTAGAAACCTTTATAGTTCCTAGGTGCATAATCGGTTTTAGGGAGTTTTAAGGTGGGTTTCCTGGATACATAAAACTGAAGGATTTTGGTCTTTTATAAGTAAATTAAGTACTTCTTTATGAGTAAAATAGCCGTTAAGATTTCACTGAACTAGGAACATTGAGCTCATTTGCTTAAAATAAAAATCCTGACTAGTATGTAATGGACAGAGGAGTGTGAGGCATCGCTGTCCTCGCATGACTCGCTGTCTAATTTCTTTAATCCCTTTTTCTTGATTTTTGTGAGCCGTATCTTAGTTTTGCGATCCTTTATATGGTCATAGAGCTCTATTAAGAATGTGGTTGTTCCAGAAATGCCGCTGGTGTAATTTTTTAAAGTGGCGAGTATATCTTTCGAATTGTAGGCATTTGCTATCATGTCTAAAATTTCTGTTTTGTTCATTTTGATTTGGCCATACTTGGATTCTATGAAGTCGGCCGCCATCTCCAAGTGGTCTTCTGAGGCATCTATTGTTTTTACTCTTTTGGTAGGTGCTAGAATTGGTGCATGATGGGGTTGGATATCAGGATAAAGCGATGATTGTCTTTTTGGCTGGTCAAACAGTGCGTCGGCTCGTTTACCTTTTTCAATTTGTTCTGGAGTGCATTGTAAAGCATGTGGTTGAGTTATTGTTTGTTGGAAGGGAGTTTCCGATATATGTGTATTACTTAATTCCATGGCGATACTCCTTTCAGAAGTAGTGTTAACTTGGCTGTCATTTACATTATGCGACATGTTTGTTTCATATGTCTCAGTTTGTCGGTTAGGGCATCGAACAAAGTTGTGCCCTGCTTGTTTACTGTGCGCGCATGTACCGCCGTCAGATGATATAAATATGCGATATTTATGTTGTATCATTGTAGGTGAGGGTTGTCGAGTCTGGAATTGCATTTTCATTGGGAGCGATGAAAACCTGACGACGGACTCAGTACATGGCTGTATTCGCGGTCGGACTCAGACATGCCTACTCTTGGGTGTGTTATGCGCAATAGTGTTATTAGGAATTGACGGGCAGACGTTAGAAATCACTAGTCTTTGAAATGGAGTTACTAATCTTCTGATTTCAATTTCATGCTCTTGGATTCTGATAATCTTGTGGTTTAAGATGATTGAGTCTTCTGTCGCAGTGCTATTTAGATATATGCATATTCGGTTATTTGAAATTCTTGACGCGTATAGTATGCTTTTTGGACCTACAATTGAACCAATAGTGACAATGTAGTCTCGGATCTTGATACCATCGATAGATGTTAACGGTATTGTTCTTTGGACGGAGTTTGTTGTATTGTTGGTTGTTGTAAGAGTGCACTGGAGTAAGTGGGTTGGCTGAGTAGGGTGATGTTAGAATCTGCGTGAATCATTGTGAGTCTGCGAGGTTCACTTCCTTGTAGATAAACTAGTCCGGTTCTATTGGTACCACCGTGGCGCGTAGCATGCGAGCATGCCTAGCAGCGCAGCAGGACAATAACTCAGTGCCGAATTTACCGGCGCGGCGTTTGTTTACGGGATTAGCAATTCAATATATTGTATTATGTACGTTAGTTAGGTCACAGGATCAGCGATTCCTAATGGTGGGATAATCCCATTGGTTATTCTTGTGCATAGATGCACTTTCACTTATTAATTTCTACTAGCTACTTGGAAAATGAAAAAGGTTTTGACAGCGTACTACAAACCAGACTATCCGTTTGGCGGACAGGGCCGTCTTGATTACCAAAAATTATTGCTTTAGGAATGACGGTCTTCGCCTATACTCATATACTTTGCGTCGCCTGTAACAATAACATAACATAACAAAATGCAAGCAATTCTATCCAGTAATTTCCACCTAGCTATTGCCATCGAAAATAAGTAAGACAGAAGAAAAAACAATGCTTCGAGGTACAATTTCTCCAATATGGCTGCGCTGGCGGAAAAGATACAAATTCATAAAGTGGAAACTTGGAGATATACCAAAGAAGTCATCTTTTCAAAACTTCCCCAAAACCATGCATTTTCCTTTTTAAGTACAAAGCAATAGGACTATTAGATTACTTCATCTATCATGATGATCTTGAAAAAACTTAATCTTAAAGAATATAACATAGTCTAGTAACCTCCTGTATTGAGACCTGTTGACCGGGCTATAAATGTTCCTCAAAGCGTTTTTAATACGTCCGTGTTACAGCGTCTTCTTGTGCATGAGGTTATAGGCGCATTCAGCAATTTAGAGCTAAATAAAAGTAGAGCCATTCCTGGTACAGTTTCTGTCCATTTCTTTATGAGTGTGATGACCTACTAGGAACATGCTTCTGATCTACAGCGATGCGGATGACGATTCGGAGATCGTGTTCACGCTAAGGTCACTAGCACAGGCTGCGATCATCTTTGTTATGGCCATCGCAATTATCATCACCAATGTGCTCATCATTGCTACGCTTGTTAATTTTAGAGGTAAGTCAGCACTTTTGAATACTTTTATTCAGTGTATACACACTAAGGTCTAGAGCACATCAGCAGGGGTATTACGTGAATAGACACAATGCCATTGAAAATCGGTATAATTTCAACTTATGTACTGGCCACCAATGGAGGAATGACACAAGAACCTATAGCGTAAAACTTACAGTTTAGGCCATAGCAGCTATAAACGACCTCCGTTAGTGACATCTCTACAGCAAATGTTACACCAGAGCCAAACATATATATATATATATATATATATCGTTTAACATGAAGTCAACGGCAACTAATCTCAAGTTGACACTTCATAGGATATCCTACATAAGGTCATGAAAATCGTAGGAAATTAGAAAATCCAGATAATGTCACTTTTTAAGTGAGTAATACGGGTGTCGAGCAGGGCATGGAATAGCGTCGATAACGATATCCCTCCCGAAAGTCAGACCGATCATAAATGTTATTCACTCTTATACCTGAGCATGCTGACACACCCTTTGCCGCGAAATGCCCTCAAGAGAAAAGTCCAGGGGAGACAACCACCACCTATCAATGTATCACTTCTCAATTATTTGGAAACAGATACATATACTTTCCGTAGCAACTTATTCACTTGCTTCAAGGGTCTATCGATTGGTGACAAGGAACTGTGCATCTAACTCCGTTTTTACATGCTTCGAGCAATCTGTTTGCTTATTAGATATGAAAATTTGATTAGCGTGTCTAATCGCCAACCAATCCTCATATAAAAATTGGTTGTACGTGGTGCGCATCAAAAGTCAATTTTACTGAGTGTATTAAACCCAAAATACCTGTTTTTTTGTTGAGGCTATCCAACAAAGGACCCTGTACAAAACGTGGAAAATAGTTCCTAGTCGAATTGGCTTAAAATTGAGTACTTATACAGGGTGTCCGCAAAGTAATGGGGTTTTCCTTTTCAGAAACAGCTACCCTTGAAATAACAAAGGTAATGTGTAGTGTAACGAGGGCGACCAAGTAAAAAAAAATAAAGGAAAAAGTACTCACTCTCCAGTTGACGAGAAGGGCTAAGTACGTCTCTGCCCGAAAGCATACCGCTCCAACAGAAAATGACATCAGCTGATGCGCTACCGAGCAGACGCAGGCAAACGAGGAAGGCAAAATGTTGCGTAAAAAGTCTAAGTATTGCATCCCGTCCAATCGATTTGGGAGAATAAATGGTCCAATGAGCATACCGTTCACCATGCCAGCCCAAACATTCACCGAAAATGTTTGTTGAAAATGTGCCCGACGGACAGCGTGCGGATTTTCTACTGACCAAACATGAGTGTTGCGAAAGTTATTCACCCCATTACGCATGAACGTAGATTCGTCTGTCACCAATATGCACTTCAAAAAGTCCGGATTATTGTCATGTTGATGCAACAACCACTCACAAAACCGCACTCTTGCTGGAAAATCGTCAGGTTGAAGGGCTTGTACACGTTGGACGTGAAACGGATACAGCCTCTCTTCACGCAGCGTTTGCCACACTTTAGTTTTTGATACTTGCACTTCTCTAGCCACGTCTCTAGTGCTTGTTGAGGGATTCTCGTCTACGCGATTACCTCTAGACGCGTGACCGTAACCGTCGGTTGAAGGTTGCATACTGACCTGACACACTGACCCCGAACCAGTTCTGTCGTCAGGTTGAGCTAGTGTCCTAGTACCAGTCGGGGATGTCGCGGCTACAGGACGGTATTCAGATATTTTTGATGTTGCAGAGCCCTTTATCTCGGTTCCCTTAAGACATTGGTGTATATGGTACTAAGAAAAATTGCTTATGTTTCCAAGATCTACACGTCGTGTAAAGGAAAACCCCAACTTTGCGGACACCCTGTATATTTCTCGCAAAATTGGTGAATGTGCCAGACCAAATACAGGGAGAGTTGTTATGCAGAAGAACATATTTCATTAAAAAATTCAGTAAAGAAGTAATGTAATGAGTGAGTGAATTAGAAGACTGTGTTTGTTAATAAGAGCATCAGCTATTTTATAAAAGTCTCTTAGATTTGGTACATCCTTCTCTGAAAATTTAAAAATCAATTTTATATACACATTCACCATTTTTGTAAACTGACAAACTTCATCCGCCTATTCTCAGAAACTAATTATAGGAGTGCTTTGGTTCCATGAGAACTTTTGTTCAGGCCAACGAGAAATATATCATAGTGAATTTTTAGACAAATCGTCCGAGATTCATTTTTCACATGTTCTTCCTTCTCAACTCCCTTAAGGCTCCTCGTGACTCCCTCAAGGATGCTCTTCCTCAAGGGATCCTGACCCTTACGGTGGGAAGCACCAACTGAGAGACTTCAAATTAAATTAGTATGTTACTGAAAGTATATTGAATTCGATGTAAAATTGGGTCCGTATAAAAATATTAATGATTTTTAAACAAAACTCCTAAAGATGTCGATTTCAGAAATGTTCATCAACATAGAAATTGAGTTTTGAATTCACTTGGTTGGCTTTCGCTACCCTCTGGATTTCAGAAGTATTGCGGGACAAACAAGCTTAGAACTTGGTAGAGGAAATAACACTCACCTTCCTGTATGTGTATCGAGGTCAAAAAATAAAATTCTGAGCATTCAACGCAGCATGTCCTTCTCACCCCATTCATTTTGCGTTGAATTATCTTCAATATAAAATTTTATTTGGTGACTGACATTTTTCTCTACTACTTTATTTTCTCAAATTGTGTTGTCCTTCAGGAAAGGTACTCAATAAAACTACATAACGACGCATCGTATTACGTTCTTTTTATGTCTGCGATAAAAACACTGAGCCCTATATGCAAGAAAAGTTATGATATAGTTGAGGTTAAAAGGAATGTTGGCAGCAAATACCTATCATGTTCCTTTGTTAATATTCGTTACCGTGAATTTATATACAGGGTGTTTCAAATTCGACCCTCACCATTGGAATCTCGGAATCTGTAAGTACTGTAAGTGATAAATGGTGGCAAAGTTTCGTATTTGAGTAATCAACAAAATGCCGCTAGTCATCCAGCACCAACTTTATTTTTTCTTATGGACGCTACAAAGTATATTTGCACAGATGAATAGTATTTAATTCTAATTAAAAAAATGTATTATACGTCATACAATGAGATTACCAAACCTTGATTATTTTAAAAAAGCAGAATTTCCTAGGTAGGCCCTGATATCATGAGATAGTCTTTTGTTTCGCAAATTGAATTATGTACATTTAAATGGACTTTTCAGTCCTATATTCGGTGATGTGTTTCCATAGTTAGCCATGAATTTGTTGCTGGATGAAAATTATAAGAAAATAAAAAGGTTTGGTGAAACCTGAGCACAAAATGAACATTTCTTTGATAGTAATAACAATAATAAAATCATACATAAGCAGAGGTAAATCATAGCAGATATTCAAAGTGTTGTATGTTATTTAATAGGCGAAGCCTGCCTCTTCTCTGTACATTGTTTACTCCTCGATTTATTCCTCTTCTTTTCAGTCTTCCAAACTTTGTTGCTATGTTCAATTTGAGGTCTGGTCTGGTATACGGAAGAAATACAATTTGATAATTTCAAGGCCTACCTAGGAACTTCCGTTTTTCTGGAGCAACTAAGTTTTGGCAATGTCAATGCATGATTTTTGGAATGAGAATTAAAAACTCTATCCATCGTAGAAATTCAATATGGCATCTATGAGAAAAAAAAGTTGATGCTGGAGGACAAGAGACGAAACGTAATATAGAAATTATAATTATGCCATCTTGTAGAGGAGAACAAAGTGACAATTTTATTATGTAATTTATTTTGGAATCCCACCACAAATAACGATTTTGGAAAAATTTGTTTTTTTTTTCGTCTCTCTCTGGAAGTACTGATAGTTACCTAAATACGCAACTTTGCCCCTATACAAGCGACCTCGTAACTCTTACCGCTTCCGAGATTCCAATGGTACAGGTCGAATTTGAGACACCCGGTATAATATTCAATATTATTATCTTCCCTCCAAGAGAAACAATTTAAGTAAACAAGAAGTGGCTAAGCGTGCCACCAAAATCCAACTAACATAATTCTTGAAACTGTATGTGTGGTGCAAATTAAGTGGTACGTTTAGTCACAATTTATAGAAACGCCTGAAATTTCCATATCTTCAAGTCATTGTATTAGCGTATGTTAGCTTACCATTTCAATCCCTATAATATTTACGCGGATTCTAGACGTCATCTCGATATTTTCCTTGTTTATCAGAAAAACTCAAAATGTTAAGAAAATCCACCGTTTAGGTTTAGAAATGTTTAGTTGGAGATTTGATAACACCGAGCTTTCCGTTTATGTTTTTCCATATTGTTTCATTTCTTGAATGACATAATTATACAGATGGTTTATCGAAATAAAGCATCACAAAGTGCTACTCTGAATTAAGTTGCTCAGCGCTCGTTTGTTGTCCACCGAGACCAAGCCTACACCATTCTGAGGAGTTGCCAAATAGCACGAAACAACTGTCCATGGTTGTCTGTCTGTGGTCAGACAAACAGAAGCTATATTACTAGTTAATCATAGATATTATATAAATCAACTACATGAAGCTCAAGCAGCATCACAACATTACTGCAATAGTCGGGTACATTCAGTTTTCAAAATATTTAGCCACAAAAGTCATACATTTATGGTCTTCAGTCGTACTAGAGCGTTTTTTATGGACAGTCCAATTTCGTTGAGGCCTGGCTTGTTCTATGTGGTGTTACGGCCTGAGATGGAAAAGAAATTTTATCTTGAACTGTCGCGCTGATAATACCTCAATCTCCTTAATCAGACTTAACTTTAAACAATGCGTAGGTCCTCTGGAAGTGATCAACATCTACCTGCTGTCTTTGGCAGTGGCAGATCTACTGTGTGGTCTGCTGGTAGTGCCTTTATCCGTGTACCCTGCTGTGGTGGGAGACTGGGTGTACGGAGACATCATATGCCGATTGGTAGGCTACGTGGAGGTCACATTATGGGCTGTCACTGTCTATACGTTTATGTGGATCAGCGTGGACAGGTATCTGGCGGTCAGGAAACCGCTAAGGTACGAAACGTTGCAGACGAAAACGAGGTAAGTGAGCAAGGCATATTCATGAATACAATTCCGATGCAGGATTTTGTGAGCTCAGCTGAGGAAATTCAAAAAAATCCTTCCATTGTTGTCACTTTGATCCTATAAAGAAAAGCGCCCTACTCGGCTCCGCGCTGTATCGGTCGACTCAGCAGTTCACGCTACATTTGATGGTCATAGTGGAATCCAACACCGCTCATTACCTAAAGTTCCTGTAGCCATCACGAAAACAGAAAATAGTTCTAAAGGTCAAAGTCATATGGTATTATAAGACATATTAGCTGGTGCTAAGAACTCACAGTCATGGATGGAATTTTCCATTATTCACGTACGTTTTTTCGAATGTCCCCAAACATGATTCAAGAGATTGCTGGGCAGTAACGTGGTTCAACTTTGCTTAGACAATTTTTAACAAACTACGAAAAATTGTTTTTCTCACGCTCCGGACATTGTTTTTTCGTAACATTTTAAATAAGAAAGATCTTTAGTAACTTTTCTCGTAAGTTGACCGCTTGAGATCTATAAGTGTACTTCAATGTCGAACTTTTCAAATTTCGTGGTGGTCATATCTGAACCCATCGTCTTAAGTTACCACATGTGCTGAGTTTAATTTGTTTGTAGCTACGGAGAGCGAAAGTAAAATAAAGTGAGATCATTATAAAAAATCCTAGGGTGTCATGGTTAAGTCCGGTTCTGAATTCGATGTTAATTTTGTACGGCATACCCAAGGCTCATTCGTAATTATAGGTAATCTTAGTCGAATTCGGTACTCCAAATTATGGATACTAGCCCTACCTTTTCTAGCCATGTTTGACGAAAATGGAAATTGTGCCCAACATAGTCGTGTAGATATTGTAAGATATTATGAGAAAGCTTTCAGAAATGTTAAAGCTTTTTAGAAATGTATTGTCGACGATAAGTCTCAGGTAAAACCTCCATTATTTTCCAGGTTAGAAGAGTTTTGGAAAAATTATAAAAAAGTATGCGATATACAAAAAGTGAATATATGTGCTTAAATGTATACTTATGTGTAGATAGCCGTATTATTTTCCATCTTGTATTATATCAGCCAGGATTAGAATAATAGCGAGTTTCACACCCAAACACTGATTTAGGGGGTCAGAAAACATACAAACTTAATGTAAAAAAATATTTATTACTATCAACATCCTCGTAAGTTCGGTGGGTTTTATTTTCTGAATATCATTCCATCCAAATGTTTGCCATCCTTTCGAACACACTCCTCTAATCGCGCGCGAAAATTCTGAATCACTCTCTTGCAGAGTTCCGGAGTAATGTTGCTTATTTCTCGTTGAATTTAATCTTTAAGCTCCGCCAGTGTTCGTGGACTATTGGAATACACTTTTGACTTTAGATAGTCCCACAAAAAATGATCGCATGGCGCGGGATCGGGTGACCTAGGAGGCCAGTGAATATCTCCAAACTTCAATATAACTTTTTGAGGAAAAAGTGCTTTCACCGTGTCCATCGGTTCTCTGGAAGTATGGGCAGTCGCCCCATCCTGTTGAAACCATGTGTTTCTGTTAAATCGACGGTCTCTTCTTACAATAGGAGCAAAAATAGTGTATCATGTCTTTGTATCGCTCGGCATTGACTATCAATGCATGACTGTTTTCATCTTCAAAGAAATACGGCCCAATAATAGCGCTAGAGGATATAGCACATTAAACAGTCACCTTTGGACTATATAGCTGTTGTTGTTGATGATATTTTTCTTTTGGGTTCGTTGGTGCCCAATAGCTGCAATTTTGCTTATTCACATAACCGTCTAAGTGAAAATGGACCTCTTAATTCACTTTCTTAATACGTTCTTACTTGGGGCATCTCTTGGTCGGCGAATGTTGTATCGGGTACAAAATTTCCGTACGGCAGTTGCTTGTGAATCACCAGTCTTAAAGTTAGCCTCGATAGCAAAAGCACATTGCGCTCCGGTCCAACATTCCATTGTGACTATTTAACCCACACGCCTAACGCGTCGATTAAGACCTTTCTTCACTTCCTCGCGTATACGGTTGCCGCGTAATTCAAATATGAAATGCGAACTTTCCCACTGGACACCCAAATCTTCACCCAGGGTCCATAGTGCACATCGACGTTTACATTTTGTTTTATTATTAATATCGAATTAAAAAATCTAGACTGTAAATAAATAAATGAACCTACATTTTTGCAACACACTTCATTGCAAGGTCGACTGGAATTCTCAGGAAATAATCTTACAATATTGAATATTCCAGGTGTCAGTGTTGGATGGTTTTCACATGGATAAGCTCAGCGATGTTATGTTGCCCCCCACTGCTGGATTTTGCAACGCCCCTCTTCGACAAAGAGGCCTACATTTGCATGCTGGACTGGGGAAGTATGGCCGCTTACTCTGCCACGCTCTCCATCCTGGTGCTTGGCCCGTCGCTCATCACTATAGTTTACACATATTCTTATATCTTCAGGTTAGTATCAAATTCATTGTTATCAATGCGTCACTGTAACCTTAACCTGCATTTTAGTTTAGTTGAAAACATCAATGGATACTCTCAAGGAATGAAATAGATTAAGGATTAAGGTATACTATGTATAGGTATACAGGATGTCCAAGATAAGTATCCTATGCTTGGGGATCGCAATACCTGTGGGAGATACAGCTTAAGTTAAATTCGGAAATAGGCGTATTAACATGGCGTTGAGAAGCTTATAAAAGTTTCATGGCTTACTGAGAAATTTGGCAAAAACTAAAATTTGGCCATAGCATTTTTGTTTTTTCTGACTACAAAATATCAAAAAACTGATGAAACTTTTCCCTTGGCACTTTTTTGGCCACTACAAGATATTCTTTTTATTTATTTTATTTTGTGCCCAATGGTTCGTTTTTGAGAAATTATCAACAACTTAATTTTTTTATATGGTTCGAAAAAGTAGTAAACCCTGTATCTATACATGCATTTTGCTTGACGTAAATACCTGTCACCGAGTATCCTTATTAATGTGTCTGGTTAAAATGCCAGGCGACCTTTTGATAGTGACGGAAGAGGTTTTCCCTAATTCAAGTATGGATATAGTTAGCAAAAAGTTAGAAGGAATATATGTATGTAAACAAAAAACTTCAAGCATCTTACAGAAGCGACAGTACACCGAATTTAATATTAGGTTTGTATTCATGCAGCAATGCTTCAATGAAGTATAAACTCGTCAATGTATATTTGCAATATTATTGTGAAGTTGTGTGTAACTAGTCTCCATGAGCGGTTCTAGGACCACATTACCTTAGGTCAGGTACGGCTTCGTTATATAGATGATAACCAACTTATTTGAATATCCGTCTTTTGATAAGAATCGTTTGTTGAGCGGTAGGTAAGGCGTATCAGGGAGAGTCTGTGTGCAAAAAATTATCAGATTTGAATGGATTTAGACGGCAATAACAATTTGTGGCTCTATACCCCATTCGTAGTCCATTTACGCCCAGACAAAATACAACATGCCTAAAAGCGAGATTGTACAGGTCCGTATGGCTTTGGAATAATCTAACAAAATAATTGATTATTTTTATAGAAGGAAGTGCACATACCTACTTTCTAAATTCTTTATTGCTGGAAGTACTAGAATCATCGTCTGAATGTTTAATATTAATTATTACAAGTTCAATTTGAATATCGATCATATTGTCCAGATCCCACATCTTTCGGTTGTCTCTTGAACGTGACAAATGCACTATCTCCAATGGTTTGCCGTCACTCTGTTGACAGCTACATAATACAAATTTTTCACGTCAGAAAATTTGAATGTTCTATTGTTTGAAGCTACATAGTTTTTTATATTTGCCCAAATCATTTCAATGGAATTTAATTCGCAGTGATAGGGGGATAATAGCCTTAGAACGGTCTTATTTTAGTTTTTAACCATTTCGTCAACAACATTAAGATTATATTTATATGTGTGCTGCCTGACTAGATGGATATGTTCTGCTTTTATTTAAACTAATGTCTTTGATAGGAGCCAAGGTTGAATTTCTGCCTTTCTTGTGGACATTGTAGGAATTTTTTCTAGTTTTCTAGTATGGTATGCAGCATTATCAAGTACAATGACGGCATTGTAGTCAAGCTTTGGGAGTGTTTCTTCAAACCATCGTTCAAATGAACTCCCGTCCATTTTTTCATGGTAGACGGTCGTTTTCTTTGACTCAAATGCCCATAGGGCAGTGGGCACAAAGCCATCTTCACTGCCAATGTGACAGATAACAAATTGTTTTCCTTTTCCTGGTAATATTTATTTCATATAGTATTCAAGAAAATAATACAAGCAGAGTATCTGACAGGTGTTGGTTCTAAATCTACCAGATATAGCTAAGTTTAGTGTAGCTAAGTTTTCAGCGTAGGCTCATAGATTCATTCTACTTGACACCATTTTTACAAAACAGATGACAAATTGGCTAGATACATGTACCTGACGGATTTTTTAGGCCAGTGGTTAGTCGATCTAAGAAGGCTTGTCTTGTTGATTTAATTGTAGAGTCAGCCCATACTTTAGGTTTTGTATGTCCTGCATTTATCCAGGTTTCATCCAAGTAATAAATCTTCCTGCCATGGTCGCGGTATTTCTTTATTGATTTTAAATAATCTCTTGGCTGTCCATCAAAATACTATTTCTGCTCCGTTTTCTATGCCCAAATGAAGTTCTTTGAGTGAACTTAGAATGTGATCCTTTTGAAAGTAGGTAAGTCTTCATCTCTATTAACCGTCTGTAATACTTTGTCAATGGTGGAAAGTTCCTGCCTTTCAAAAAATAGATGGACGTGTAAATGGACTACGAATAGGGTATAATCGTGCAGCTTTCTTGAGTGAATTTTTTTCAGCAATACGTCCTGCTTAATTCCAACCGATTTTATTAAAATCTTGTAAAGAATGCCACGGTTTCTCAAAAATAAAAGATTTTCAAAAATATGTCAACGCAAGGAATCAATCCTTGAAGTTAGGCCAGGCATGTTGTTAACACCCTGTATCGAGTCTGTATGGCACTACCCGGAAGACCCGCTTTGTTTATTATTACGGCTTTACTAATACTATGTCAAAGGTAGTCCTGCACTATTAATTAAATGTTTCAGCATGATGCGAAAGTTACGGAGCGGAGTGCCGTTTCACGACAAAGAATACGCCACTGCTTTAGCAGAAAACCTAAACAACCCCAGTCACATGATGTCCTTCGCTCTAGTTATATCCTTCTGGTTATCCTGGGCGCCGTTCATCAGTATCAACCTCTACGAATACTTCACGGAACCTATGCAACAGGAGCAAGTAAGTATGACCATGCATGGAAAGGTATGTGGTACAAATGATATTGAAGGAAGAAGCAACATGCTGAATTTAGAAATATAGAAGCAGTTTGTACAGTTGTACAGTGGGGGCAGAAAGACCTCGCTGATTTGAAAACCGTCTAGCTACGCCAATGGGGGATAGCACAGTAGGTTATATAACATTCTACGGGTCTATTCCTGCCATTTTTAGCGTAAACTATGGCTTGGTCAGGACTGCATCGCGCTTTTGTCGTTGAAGGGTTTATTCGAAATGGAGGTTCGCCGATAATAGCTTTACGTGTCTTTCGCATTCACTTCCAACTCAGGCGACATGATCTGGTTCCCGATAGAAAGATAATTGTTCAAAGGGTGTCAAACTTTTGAGAAACAGAATCGGCATTAAAAAGAAAATCTCTTGGTCGACCTCGAACAGCAACAGGGTCAGCAAATGTAGCAGCTGTAAGAGCGGCAATTCAGCAGCTCGGCACGTAAGCCCGCAACTGCTTTGCGATAATCAAATAGAAGTGTTCGGACCCGTACCATTTTGTGGCAAGAACTGGACGTTTTGATCTTCAGTGATGAGGCCCATTTCCACCTTTCGGGCGAAGTAAACATACAAAACTGCAGGTATTGACTTGAAAATAATCCTCGAGAACTGCACGAGCAGCCACTTCATAGCACTAAGGTTACAGTTCGATGTGCTATTTCTGAACTTGATGAGGTCCATATTTGTTTTGAAGACAATGGTGTTACTGTTACAGAGAACACAGATGTGACGCTAAAGAATTTTATACAACCCTGAGTGGCTGCTCTTGTCGATGATCATGGACAAGAACATGTACGGTTTCAACAAGATGAAGCAACAGACCACATAGGTCGTCCTTCAATGGCACTTCTGCGAGAGATGTGGGATTTGAAAGTGTACCAATATCGCTTCCAAACTCTAGACGCTCTCAAGGAGTCGATAATCCAGGAAATTACTGCCATTTCGCCTGATATGATCTGCAGAGTGATGGAAAATTATCGGGAGAGGCTTACTCAGTGTAACAATAATGGATGCGCACACTTGAGTAATATCATTTTCAAAACGCATTGATTTAAAATGGCATTAAATATTATGCTTATAAAAAAATTAAGTATTTTTTCTATATCTTGATTAGTTCAGCTTTTATCGGCTCTCCAAATCGGAGAAGTCTTTCTGCCCTACCCTGTATAATACTCGAGCCAACGTCAAAGATTCTTATTCTAGTACCGTAGGATTTCAAATAGAAAAAGTGAACTTGCAGCCGCTGGAACTCAAATCGCAAGTTAATTCGTGTCTGTTACTCAAAATACCAAACATAACTAATAACTATACAGAGTTTTTGCATCAGCGTTTTCAAGATGCTTCTTGATAAGAAGTACCTATAACGTGACCCTTTTGATAATTTTCTTCAACGAATAATAATACTTGTGACAAGTGCTTCTAACAAAAACATAGTTTATGTTCGGCTTTGTAATTCAAGAATGGCATTCTGAAACGAGTTTAAAATGACAACACCCTTATTTATTTGTCTATATAAACCTGCAAAAATACAAACTATAGTGGGTATGAAATCCAATTTACAACAAGAAATTTACCCTATTAAACTCGGGATAAGATATTACAGTGTGGTCGGTCGGTAATTCCATTATTACGCATGACATCCAAAAAAGTGAAATATAAAAATTCTATCCAACAAATGCTCCTGACTTTTCATAAGTAATAGAAATATACTGAATTTCTCTTTAAAGCAAGAGTTGCTAATACCTAAACATGATGATATAACATACTAAAGGTAAATATATCGAAAAAACAGTTAACTTTGACAGCTCGCACCTTCACAATGTTTATAGCTAGAGTACTGAATATACCGTCACAATAATTTTTGATCCCATATTCTGTTCTTATCCAGTAATTTTTTAGTTTTTCTGATTCATTTTTTACACGCCTGTTTTTGATACAATGTTTATGGGAGTTTAGATGACTAATTGTTCAGCTACTACTGGTACTATTAAAAACATTGAAAAATAGCCAGACAAGGAGAAAGTATAGAATCATATTTTTTCTCACGGAAAGTTCCGTATTCCAACTGTAACAATTGTATGCATGCGAATATTTTTTCCATATATTGCCCAATCAACGATTAGTAAATAAACCCTTATAGTATGTTACATCAAATTGCTTCATTCGAAATGATTTATCCAAATCTGCAAATAGGGTTTTTGTATGTAAAAAATGTATATATTTGATTTACCATGTGATTTTGAATCAGTAGTCCAGGAAGTATTTTCCCATTAGCTCGGAAAATAATTTGATTCAGTATATACATATTATTCAAATAGGATGCCTTTTAGCAAACTAACATGTTACCAGGCCCAAAATTGCGACACAAATTGTTGAAATGATACTTTTAGAAAAGAATTAAAACAATGTTTTTGGCTCCAGATTAAGATTTTCTAAACGTTTGAATATCTCAGATATTCTTACTATAGCCGATATAACAATTGTAGCAGTTGTAGATGATACAGTACTGATAGCAACTAAAAAGTAGCCAGATAAGGAGAAAGTATAGGATAATATATAGTATTCCAACTGTAACAATTGCCCAGGCCCAAAACTGTATTCAAAATACTCTAGCAAAAAAAACACGTATAAAGATTTTCTAGTAATTTGTGTATCTCAAATGTTCTTCCTGTAGCCGATGTAGCAGTTTCGGCATTCGTGATTCAGCATTGATTGCAACTGATATAGATCTATTAAGTTATATTTGTAAAGTATAAACTACTACCAACAGTTTAGTGAAATTGACCTAGAGGTGGAGAGTTAAACAAAGCGAATTGAAATCGCTTTTCAAAAAAATGTTTCTATCGTTTTAAGGACAAATGTACGGGGAAATCTGTAAGGTGCATAGCATTATAGGGGTTGGAAGTGTACTCATATACTAACTTCAGAAAATTGCGTTATACCCTCCCTCACCTCCTTAGAGCCGCCACTCCCAAATTTTACACCCCTTAAAGATTTTTCAAAAATTATCGGGATTTGAAACGTCAAAAAACGAAGTTTCAGTCATTTTAATTATTTTAATTTTGGCATTTTTCTCCGCTGCCACTAGACCGATTTTAAAAAGCTACAAAGCCTTTTTGTTCTTGGCATAATAGTATGACAATGTCATCAAAATCCAACTGTGATTTTATTAATGTGTATGCGTTAACATTAAAATTATTTTGATTTTATATTGCTTTTTAGGGTCGAAATGATATATTTCGCAAAGTTTCTCAAATAATAAAATGCTTAATCTCGAAAGCTATCAACTCAAAAGATCATAAGAAACTTGTGAATCCAAAATAATCAAAAACAATAAAAAACTTTGCCCAGAGCGAAAAAATAGTTTTAATAAATCATTTTTAAAAAATGTCTAGCAATTTTTGAGCAATTTTGGACATGACAACATGGAAACTCGTAAGTAAGTTTTGGAGTTTTGTAAATTTTTTTAGGATACCTGCAGCAGTGTATATTGATAGGTGCAGTATTAAAACAAGCTAATTTTTCTCAAAAACAACACCTTGATCGAATCTAAAGAATGCGTTCTTCTCGGCTTACCGATTGAGCTTTACAAAGATAATATTTTAGTCATTGTTATATGTACAAGGCATAGAAATTTGCAGTATTGGATGATAGCGATACCATTCCTGGCAATCTAAATTAAATTGTTTTGTGTGGTCACCATCATGTGAGTGCACAACTGGTAACTAAGCTCTCATAATTTAGTTGAATCATACAGTGCGGTTCAAACTACCTTTTTATTTCCTATATGCAGCCAAAAGGTTACCAACTTATTCTGGGATACCTTGTATAAGAGGTATATATTGATATGATATGTTTGAGTGTTCTTTTTAACATTTCTGAAAGCTTATTTTATTTTATAGTGATTGTTTTGCGTTATTTCCACGTAGCGTCGCTAAAGACATGTTCAGCCTAGTTTCTAAGAAAAAATATTCTCGCGCAATATAAGAACTGTTTAGACAGTTCAGAATCAGTCCAGGACGCAGTTGGGTCGTTTGTGGAATGAACTGTTGTTGGAACGTACTTTCTGTTTCCCTAGGACCTCCACTTTGGCATCGTGTGGCTGGCCTTCCTAAACTGCTTCTGGAAATCCGTGATCCTCATAGCGATGTCCCCCGAATTTCGACTGGCATTGAAGGTACTCTGCATGACCATCTGCTGCAGGTACAAAGGCCGCCGGTTGCAGGCCGAGCTCATCAAAATGGGGATGGAAGTGGACGAGGATCAGGAATATGGGTGAGGGTGGCCCGATTCATGATCACTTGCTACAGGGTGATTCAATCTTAGAAAATAAACATAGTGCTTATAACGCAAATGTCGGTTTCTTGATAAAAAACACCAGAAGTTGGGAATTCATGTTTTTTGTCACTTGACACGCCTCCTTTTTTGAACTGCTAAAACATGAACCTTTTAAAAAAGTGCCTAATTCCAATCAATTTTAAGGAGTGATTTTTGCGAATGGTCGGAGAATAAGGGGGTGCAAGAAGAGTCTATAATTAAGTCCTTGACAACTTTCTTACTCCCTGTCCTCCCCTGTTGGTTTGATTTATTTAAAAGTAACACAATTTGCTTCTTTATTTTCATGTAAGACTAGTTAATGATATTTATCCTAATTCATGAAGAATAATGGACGGTCTCAAGAGTGCTTATTGGAACCAGCGTCATGTGATTTTCAGTAAGATCATCTGCTCTTTCAACTTTGCTCTTATTTAGTCACTCTAAGCCGTTCTTACTTGCACACAGAAGCTCACTAAATCGTCTTTGCGCTCTTACGTCTTTCGGATAACCGTGATAAGTACTATTATGTCAGATTTTTCCGTATTTTCATAATTTACTACATTTTTTTGTTTCTTACTAGAAAAAATAACTTAATATCTACCAAGGCCCCCATCTCCCCATGTGAGATTGGGTGAGACTCGACTCGAGCCCTCCCTCCCGGTGTAAAGCAAACGATTCAAATGTCAATGATGACGAAGAATACGGTTGAGACTTCTCAGACTCAAGTTATAGATTGGATTCCAACGCAGAAACTGCAATTGGCAAATTACATTCGCCTTTGCCAACAAACAAAAAGCACAGTAACAAAACTTACCCCTGATATCTGACCCCGTCATACAGTGTCACTAGTTTAAATCCTTGTTCCGACTACAAACTTACAGTTTTGGTGAAAGCAAATTGGCAGTTTTTTCATACAAAACTGTAACAAATTTTTTTCTTGCTATCGTTAGAATACTGCTTTGTAATGGCAAATCTAAATTGGAGTCATCATACTGCCGTGTACTTAGCGGTAATGTTTATACTCGTAAGTGTGTTTAGTGTCAATTCTTTTGTAAACTACCAGTCTTACGTGAAAAATGGCATCAAGTTCGGCGCCTATGCACTTCTCACGCAATGCTATCATTAGTTCATAAAAAAATATGTTCAGGATAAGTTAGCTCTCGGTGGGCCAGTTGGCCTTCTTCGTATTTCTCTGCCTTCTTCTATCCACACACGACACACGCTCATTACCGTCATTGCAGTACATGTACAATTAACACGGCGGCTAATTTCGCGATAGGACAAACCAACATCTCGATGGGCAATAATTCTACCCCTGTCAAAGTCGCTAAGATGGTGGTAATTTGGACGTTTTTGAACTCGAGGCATTTGGTTATGCTTGACACTAGTAAATGAAAGGGCAATAACAAAAAATATCTGTACTACTCAGCTCTCAGAAACTGACTTCTTCACAAAAACTAAGAGATAATATTTTAACAAAGGTAAACAAAAACGAAGGTAAAACATTGACATTTTCACCACAGCATTCTTCAAATATAGTCATTATGTTTCCAAAAAACAAGTTGAAGAAATTATTTTTTCTGGGTGTAACACTAATGTCACTGAGTATATTATTTTCGCTTATAACGACTCTGATTACTTTTCATAGCGTGATGGTTCTCGAGATATAAGGAGTGATACTTAAACATTTGCATCAAAACATTCGAGCGCCATACTCCGCAAACTACATAGCTACACTGTCCCCGTATCAGTATATAACATTATTTTACTGGAGTATAACTCTTTAGTCGTTATCTATGATCAAGAATAGCATTTTAAATTACTTCTAGTGCCAAACGAGTATAGAAAATGTAATATTTTGTGATGATTTCTGATATCTCGTCAAGATAATTCAAGTCACTTCCGCTGATACGTAGTTGTTTTCTTTTTACAGCCGGGATATACCTACCTGTGTTGTTGTACGTAACATAATAAAAATTGTTTTTGTTACTCATCAAAAGTGATTCAACCATGGACGTCTTGCATTAACTTGACTGCTCTTTCTGCTGTATCGTTAACTACTCTCAGTGTTTGAACCTTATTCTTAGCATGGTGAAAAGAATCATTATGTGGTCATGAAGTTGGACACTCGTCGAGAAAACATCAATTTTGAGTCGGCTGAACAAGGGGACTTGCTTTCGCTTGAAACAAAGTCATCGATATTTTTCTCTGGCATGAAAAACGAAGAATAGCTACCATCTAAACATACCGGTTTTTGTGAGTCCGATCACAGGCAGTCAACCATGGACAGAGGTTTTGTGCGACAACGAACGAAAGCGTAGCAACTAATCTCTATCTGAGGTCTATCGAAGCAAGATAGTATAAGGTCCATCTATTGCCAGAATTGCAGTTTATGCTAGCTTATTTTGATAGTTAGCATATTATATCAAAGCAGTAAAAGGAGGCAAAGGAAAATTAATCGTCAGACTTTCCATAAAGCGGGCCAGAAAGTTCTTCTTTCGATGGAATGTAGCGTTTACCGTGGGCTGATAGACTTTCTTTGGCTAAATTAGCAATAATTTTTACTTTTTACTAGTTTCCTCATCCACGTCATCGTCAAATAGAGATAAGACAGAGACCTCATCTGTCAAATGCCATAGATGTTGGCAGAACTTTTAAAAAGCTGCTTTTGGAATGGTTTTCTCAATTCTTTCGTAAGCCTTCATTGGTATACTGTCACGATGAACAGGCAGATATCTAACAAAGCTGCATTCTCCTTATCTGGCCACCCATCGAGCTTAATGCATGGCGCCTGGCGGTCGAATCTTAAATTTTTTCTCTGTATCTCCGTTTTCGTAGGCGGAGCCAGAATGTGTACATGTTGCATGCACACGTGTTCCCTCGCCAGAGTCCGTGTGGCGTCCCCCCCCCCTTTCCCATGTATCCCCCTATAGCCCCACGGTACCCAATGGGTGCTTAGGCCTTAGGCCTTCGTGTTAGTTGGAGTATAAAAAAAAGGCAAGATGGTTTTTCAGTATTTTCTCGAGCTCTCGCGAAACTTTTTAAACATTGGAATATCAGGGCTTGTAGTCACTTGGCCGATATTTAATTCCAACACCCCTTTTTAACACCAATTCGTAGACGTGATGGCGGCAATTAAATATAAGCATTTCTTTTTTAAGTTTCTGTTACAAAAGCACGCTGGCACTGTTAATGCGACCCGTATTTCCACAACAGAGAATCTGAACTTTATCTTCAAGATTCCAGTTAATAATAGGATCTCAAACTGCCTGAGGTTGCTCGCTGCCTGAAGAGTTATTCAATTTGGGCACAGCAATAAGTTTCTCTTTATTTTCATACGTTATATAACAATCGGTAGACGTTCTTCTTTAGCCTTGCGTGAATTTAAAGGTGGCAACAATTTTCTATCCCAGTGGACAGTTACAGCATCCGGTACCATGCTTTGGAAATCATCCCGTATAGCGCCTGCGCGCTCCTTTCGCATTTCAGTACGAATTATTTGAATGGAGGACTTGCTTATAGGAAACTCGTCAGTGTAATGTCCAAGCGACTCAATGGTTGCTTCAATAATAAAAACAGCATTTCTCATACTTAACTGACACCTATCTAATGCTGCCACTAATTTTGGAGTTATGAAGTTTTACTCATTTGAGTTTGATTAGTATCAGGCTGTGTGGTTCGAGTTAGGATGGGCTAAAGTTTCTTGTAAATTTATCTTGGGATCTGAAAATAAATTTTCTTGCACTGGATCAAGTTAAAGTAGTTAAGGAAGCAACATTTTTAGCTCGCAGGTTGTGTTCTTCGGTGTTCTTAAAATGGGCCTTTTCTTCTTTTATGGCTAATTTCTTGCCCACCCTAGCTAAATGACCAGGTTAACCTGGCTCTCTCTGCCGCTGCAAGAAGATCCCATCTTCATTTACTTTCATCAGTTGAAGAGCATCAGCGTGCGCAATATCAATCAGATTAACAACTTAGTAAGAAACTCTTGCCGACGTTGCTCAAACACTTCTTGTGTTTTGTTTGCATTTTTTGCAAATCTCTCCAAACCTGGTATAAGGTAACTAGTTTCTTAGCACAGCTAGGTAGAGATTCCCAGTAAATAATGCCCTGACGGATAGTATGGTTGGTGTTCTCATTGACACTTAATTTCATTTCCCGGATATTATAAAACAAAACTGCTAGTACTTGTCCATTACAGGGAATTTTTGAACAGGTAATTTGATGCTTTACGTTCCCTGTTAAAAATGTTCCCTTTTTAGAATTGCGTAATTCCTTCGACATGTGACTGAACGAAAACAGTTCGTTTAGTAATAAAACAAACGATCACTGCAATGCGCGCGCCTGATATGCAAGTTTTGACATGTTCCAACTTCCAACGGAACTCGGCACGGGTTGCCCTGGTTCTAGGTACATAAAACTTATTTACAATTGTTTTGACATTGTTCAAGCAAAATTAGAGGGTATGCGTTTGAAAAAAGAGACTTTCATTTTTTTGTGACACCCTGTATCCCGAAGTGAAATTATCAATGCTGCGTAGCGTGCGGAGTATATCACCGGAATGTTTTGATACGAATTTTAACTGCCACTCATACTTCAAAATGCATCAAGCTTTCGAAAAAATGGAAGAATCCTTTTTTGTAGCAAATTATATTTTTCATAAAAAATAACGAGCCTCTATAATTTTGTTTACTAGCTCAGCTTGTAACAGTACAGATATCTGGAATCGTCTCTCCGTTAAGAATATTTCTGAGAAAGATATCGGCAGTGGTATGTTGCAGCAAATAGCAGCTTACAACGGCTGTACAGTGTATACATGTGCAACTTGAGTCGCATTTTCTAAGAATCCAACAATCGTAACATATAAATACATTTCCGTTTTTCTTTTTTGAGGAGGCAGCCGAGCATTGAATGCTTAGTGGCCTTTAAAACCTTTAACGGCCGATTCCAGCGTCGAAAAAAAGGGTTTTCATTTACGAATTCGCAAAAAAAACCCAGTCATTGCCGACATTTGAGTTTTTTTGAATGAACGTATATTAGACCGAATCAGAAACAACCAAATTGATACATTCCAATTAATTAGTATAAAGAGGCACGGATTTGGTCTATTAGAGTAGGCTTCTAATATTAGAAATCGCATGTAAGATTACAAAGACCAATTATTGTCACTTATTATTCAAAGTCGCCATCAGGGAGGCAATTTTACACATAAATTAAAGTAATGAAACGTGACCATACACCGCATAGTGTTGCCGATATTAGTAGATTCATCTGAAATGAGATATATGTAATATCTTTAAAATTATCTTCATGTAAGATTGTTAGAATTCCTCTAAACTGTGACTATGCGCCGCTGGTTTATTTGAAGCACGATTTCATAAAGGCGCTACAACATAGACTGTAATAATAAATTAGGAATGGAAAGGCAGTCTCTCTTTTGGTCTCTAATAATGCAACCTTGTGACTTTCAGCCAGTTATAATTCCTGCTCGGGGTTCTAAAGTGAATTGTGTGAAGTGAATACGCGTTTGTGATAGAACCGGAAACTCCTTAAAGGCTCAAACCTTTCATTCGTCCAGCTAAAAGATTCCTTTTAAAGTGTTGAGGCTACTATTGATACATGTTTCGTTCAAATAATTATGCATTGATTAATTAATATTTAATTCAGATTTTCTATAATATATGACTATCTTTTGAATTTAGAATATTGTATTTCCATAATGATTTTTTGGATATGAAGTTGACTTTAGCAAATTTAAGGTGATACAATTCACGATTAGATTATTCGCATATCCAGTATTTATCACTATTGAGCCTAAGGGTTGAATGTCGCGAGTCGTGGATCTATTTCCAGGAGATCATATTGATCCAGTAGCGTGAGTCGTTGTGTTTTGATTTGATCAGATCAGTGAGATCTACCTTCGATAAGGGAAGTCTGTTAAGAACGAACTTCGATAATAGAAAATTAGGTGTGACATGGCTAAGAAGGAAATGCCCAGAAATGCTTCGACATTCATTTCATAGTCTCGTGGGATTAGGCAAAGGATTGTCATAAAGATTTTAGCCTGTAAGTATTCCAACTCAACTCATGTTATGAGCCACTATTAATGAAAATGTAATTACTTGTAACTTTAACGTGCAACACTTGGAAACTGTTGACCTTATTGTAAAGTTCTGTAGAATTAAAACTCTAACTCTGCATATGGCTCTATGACCTTTTTACGTAACATTGATAGCTTAGAAAATTATTGGCCAAACGCGTTTATCAAAATGGCAGCTAATACCTGCTAATGTCGCCAATTTGGATTTAGCATTACATTATCAATAAATCATTTTTTCTTGCGCTTATTGCAAAGCTTTGTACTCCAAATCGCCCTACTTTCTGGCCTATGGAGATGGTCTGAACCACAACTCCCTGAGACCCTGGACCTTCTGTAAAAAGGTACGACCGTAGCCAATAAATCTAGCGACGCAGTAAAGTTTTAACCTATAATAGTTGGCCACTAATGTTGAAGTAAACAGTTAGAAACTAACCCCAGCATGGAATGAGATAGGTTGAAGAATACATCTAAATGTATTGGGACATTGTAATGAAGGATCATTTTCACACTTCCACATTAAATTATCCACATTAAATTACATTTTGGAGGACAAGTATAGAATAATTTACCAACTTCAATTAAAAGCTCATCGTCAAAAACATTTTCAAAACTGACAAAAACGTTGTTACAGAATCACCAGCTACTTTAGCAGCGTTTGTGTGAGCAAAAATATCTTTTTTACATTCCTACTCGCTGACAGGTTGTAAAGATTTGTTTTTCGCGTCCGTTGCCAGCTCCCGGGGGTTCTTTCTTCGTTTTTGCCTTTTTTGTGTTTCACCGCCTCTTCGTTTGCCTCTTTATTGTTTTTTTTTATTTTGTTTAAGGACTTTTATGGTATTCAGGGCTTTCTCGCATGGACTCTTTATATTAAAGGGTCCAGTATCGGTTTTATAATCGAGAGACTGTCCTTTTTCGTCATTACTCTATATGTAGAATTTCTTTTATTTATGATGTTTATTCATGACGAAATAAATATTTTGAATTTGAATTTGAATTTGAAGATACAATTCGGGGTATGTGAGTTATTTTCGTGTATTTTTCGATATCGATAGTGAACAAAGTACACCGTCCCCTGCTCTACCACCTTTAACATTTGAATCGCTTGTTTTATGATTTAGTATGAGTGTTTGTTTGCACTTCTTATACTACATCTGACTGTTTTCAAACGTTACCAGAACTAAACTAATACATTTTCGGCCTGTACTGAATGGATCGATTTCCAGCAGGAACTCAGATTGTGGCTAATTTGTAGCAGCTCTCCAAAAGAATGTTTGACCATCACTGTCCATTTACCCGTATTAAAAATAATTCTAATAATATTATAATAATAAGTTATAAGGGCATGGCAGCTGGCAGGGGTGAAGAAAATGTGAATAAGTGTATGTATTTCCTAAATTTAAGCCAAGATAAGCCTTAAAAATGTAGTGAAGCGCTAATTTTGAGAAGCACGGTACTTCGTATTCAATGCTTTAGCTCTCAGAAATCACAGACATGTTGTATCACCCTGTACACTTAGGCCGCTCATTTATACCCATTCTGCTCCCTCTAGGGTTTAGGAATATCACTTATGAAGAAAAAAAGGCATTTCTCTAAGGCAACGCCAAATCCACCAGCTCAATCGAGGTGGCTGATAAGAGTAGGAATCCTTATAGCATATCATACATCGTTCGCAGCATGGTATCATACATGATTTAACTTGATATAGATTTTCAGAAAATCTAAGTAAAAGTAGGTTTTAATGCAAAACATGTTCCATTTTGATTGATCAATTGGAAATGGAGAAATGATTATGAGAACAACCAGCTACAGCGTCATATCATTCGCGTAGAAGACCAAAACTGAGCTGCTTTTCAAAAACCCTACATCTACTCCCAAATAGAGTAATTCTTTTTATCTACAGCTGCTACACTTCGGAATCGTGTGGCTGGGGTTCCTGAACTGCTTCTGGAAGTCCCTCATCCTAATAGCGATGTCCCCGCAGTTCAGACTGGCCCTACGCGTCTTCTGCATGACCATCTGCTGCAGGTACAAGGGGGGCCGGTTGCAAGCGGAACTCATCGGCATGGAGGCCGATGACTGACTACGCTTCCTGGTGCTTTGCCTTCGCAGATGCTGCCCTATTGGGATGCGGGGGCCATCGCTGGCCGACTGCGGATATCAACTACTCGGTAAGGAAATGCGTTTCTTTCTGAATGCTATTTTAAAAAATATAAACAAGTGGACCTTGCTCTCCGCTTCATCATCGAAAACCATCTAGGCTACTCCCACTACGAGATGTATTGAATTTTGCTTGTCCAGTACACCGAAAAGCTGAATACAATTTCTACAGCATTGAAATTTCAAATCCGAGGTTCGTTTTTCCTTATGTTTTCATTTTCACGGTCATTTCAATGTCACATTCAAAAGGAAGCGATCATTTAGGCCCAACCTCCTGTCAGTTAGGTTTCTCTGGTCGCTGACTCCGAGTTAGAGACCAGTTTGTCACTATCAGGAAGTTTAAAGGTCATTGCAAAGTGTCACCTCAAGGATAAAAGTCTAACATTTAGACCAGGCGCGTGTCATATAGGTTTTTGAGGTCGTTGCGTCCGAATCTAAGATCAGAATGTCTCTATGAAAATATTCAGACATTTTCAGACCATCAGTAAATTAAAAAAAAACTGAGTAACTGAGTAGCTGTCAAAATGTGGCGGTTTATAACGTTATATTTTTCAATAGTAGAAGTTAACAAGAACTCACTTTAGATTTTTATCTGGCAGTACCTCAAGCCTTAGAAATCTCAATTCGGGCAAAATACAAATCATTTCTGAATAATAGTAATATGAGATGGTGAATGAAAAATTATAATCTGTTGAAACGGTGGTGTACATGAAAACAATAATGACTGGTTTCTATTACACCAGTACCCTTTTTATTATGATCCATATGCAGAGTTCAAAATGTTTAACGCGAAACACAACGGACGATGATAAACCTAATTTTCGTTCGAGGTAGTTTGTTCAGCTGAGCCTTTCTACTATCTCTGATGTCAAAAAATGGCATCAAGTAGGGTGACTCCCCTCTTTCCACGCAATCAGTCTCATGTTTGTCCCAAAAAAAGAAAAGTGTTGGAGTTACCAACATGTGGAACAGAGAAATTAAATGGATGAAGTTACTCATTTAGGCTCATACAATTAGTCTATAGACATCTTTTTCCTGCCCTACCAATTGTACCGTCCATATCTGGCAACGTCACCCTTCTCGACACGACATTCTTGTGACACTAGTCAACCCTTACAGAGATGCGTGTCGAGGTACTTCTCCGAGTTTTAAGGACATATACAGGGTGTCCCAGAAGTCGACGTTAAACCGAAACCGAGTGATAGGCAAAGTCATAACAGCTATCAGAAAAATATTTAAAAAAATTGTATGTATGTGTTTTGAAAATTATAGGTCTTTGAAAAAATATAGAAATTTCACACCCTACGGCGGTATGTCAACTCCTGTTACTACAAATATTAACTTTTTTTGGATTTTATTTTTACAATGTAATGATGAATAATGCATCTTCAAACTGGTGTCCCAACCTTACTGCCAACTTTTCTCGTTCAGGAAAAATTGCCACTTATTTCCCAACCACGTATTCCAAAGTAAAACTTTGCTCAACTTTAACTGGCTGTACTGGAAAAAAATGTACTACGACAGTTTGGCAAGTAACCTTAAAAGTTGGCGCATTTAATAAGGATTCTAAAATGGTATAACACTCAGAAGATTACTCGTTAACTTATGCACAATTTTTATTTGAAGAAAAACTGATGAAAATTTTTCAAAATTTCCTAATTAAACAGCGATTATGAAAACGCACAAGGACCCTTAAGGATAACTGTTTGCACAACAGTGGGCGTCAAAATGCTGCTGATGATGATTTACCTTTACAGCAAATGCTCAAACTGTTTTCCTTCAGCCGCAATACACGCTCGACATCTTAAAAAAGATCGGGTTATTAAACGAGCGAATCCACGGTTATTAACAAACTCAGCTGATTTGGACTGTTTAATTGCTCTTCAAAACAACATTTGCTTTCCTTAGACTATCTTTGATAGTGTGATTGTGCAGTACCGCTATGTCCGTGTACACCGTACAAGAATATGCTAACACGCACCTCATTTATGGGGAATGCAGATGCAACGCTAGTGCTGCAGCGAGACTTTACTGTGAGAGGTACCCAAATGCAGCTCGTCATCCAGATCATCGGGTGTTCACAAATGTGCACCGCTTACTGTTCTCAGAGGGCCAACTACCAAACCAATCACACGGTGAGGGAAGATCTTTCCTTCCTTACGAAGACGTGGTGCTAGGAGCTGTCGAAGAAGACCCGAGTACTTCAGTGCGTGCAATAGAACTAAAAACAGGTGTGCCCAAAAGTACAGCCCATAGAATCTTGCAAAAAAACGTGCTCCATCCATACCACGCACAGCGTGTTCAAGCTCTTCTGCCCCGGGTTTATGAGCCCCGAGTTGCTTTTTGTCGCACAATGTTAGAAAGACACAGGGAAGATCCACGGTTCTTTGAAAAAATTTTATGGTCAGATGAGACCACATTTAAGAAAGATGGGTACATGATCCTGCATAACTTACACGAGTGGCACGTAGCAAACCCATATTTGATGAGAGAAGATAAATATCGCTTCAAGATAAACCATTGGACAGGAATTTTAAATGGTAAAATAATCGGTCCGTTTGAGTTCCCAGAGACTTTGACTGCTGAGGTTTATTTAGGTTTTTTGCAAAATCATTTAGAAAATTTATTGGAGGACGTGCCACTGAGTATTTACAGGGACATGTGGTTTCAGCATGATGGCTGCCCAGCGCACTGTGCACTCTCAGTGAGAGAGTATCTCGATCAAAACTTTCCAGGCAGATGGATAGGGCGGTCTGGTACAATACCGTGGCCAGCCCGGTCACCAGATTTGAATCCGTTAGATTTTTTTTACTGGGGAACTGTAAAAGAAAAAGTGTATTTCAAGCCAATTCAAAATGTAGCTGAGCTACGGCAAAGACTATTGGAAGCAGCTGAGTTTGTTAATAACCGTGGATTCGCTCGTTTAATAACCCGATCTTTTTTAAGAAGATGTCGAGCGTGTATTGAGGCTGAAGGAAAACAGTTTGAGCATTTGCTGTAAAGGTAAATCATCATCAGCAGCATTTTGACGGCCACTGTTGTGCGTTTTCATAATCGCTGTTTAATTAGGAAATTTTGAAAAATTTTCGTCAGTTTTTCTTCAAATAAGAATTGTGCATAAGTTAACGAGTAATCTTCTAAGTGTTATACCATTTTGGAATCCTTACTAAATGCGCCAACTTTTAAGGTTACTTGCCAAACTCTCGTAGTACATTGTTTTCCAGTACAGCCAGTTAAAGTTGAGCAAAGTTTTACTTTGGAATACTTGGTTGGGAAATAAGTGGCAATTTTTCCTGAACGCGAAAAGTTGGCAGTAAGGTTGAGACACCAGTTTGAAGATGCATTATTCATCATTACATTGTAGAAATAAAATCCAAAAAAGTGAATATTTGTAGTAACAGGAGTTGACAGACTGCCGTAGGGTGTGAAATTTCTATATTTTTTTCAAAGACCTATAATTTTCAAAACACATACAAAAAAATTTTTTAAATATTTTTCTGATAGCTGTTATGACTTTGCCTATCACCCGAATTCGGCTTTACGTCGACTTCTGGGCCACCCTGTATACGGGGAAATCTATGATGCACGTCTAATAGTTGCGTAAAATTACCGAGGCTGGAAGCGTATAAATATACTACCGCCAAAAAAATCCCCCAACTTCAATTTCATCCATTTTTTCTCGGAATGACTGATTTTTATTTCATTCGATTTTTGCCCCTAGCTCCGCCGCCACTGCGCCGATTTTCAAGAACCACAAAACCTTTTGATTCGTGGCATAGTAGTAACATTGTATATATTTCATCAAAATCCAAGTAGTACTTTCCAAGTTATAGAAGGTTAAAGGTTAGCGGACAGACAGACAGCCAGACCGACGGAAATGAGTGGCAGAATTCGTAATGTACATGTCATATAACATATAGAAAGCATATCTCATTCTCGGATTTTTTTACGATTAGAATACTTCTCCGACAGTGGCGTAGGAAGTAAAATGTTTTCTCTTTAACATTTTCTTGACATCATTGTCGTCGATCAAAGAATGTCGCTTCCAGCATGGTTTATCGGGAAGTTCGAATTCACAGGTTTGAAATTTTTCGACTCATCTTCTACATGTTCGGTTAAAAACTGAATATTCACTAACAATTTCAATGGATATCTACAGCTCGTAAGTTGTTTTTTCTTTTCGGCATTCGTACAAAATGCAGTGGACTCATCAGTATCCGTGGATACAGAACTTTTCGGTAGACCTAATAGCTACAACTTACAAAAAAATGATTATTTATTTTTTAAAGACGTATTTAGAATGAATTCAGATAGTACCCTCGATGCAATAATTTTACTAACATTTCTGTAATAAGTGCAGAATGCTTAAAGTGTTCACTTTGCCTGGGTATCGCTTAGCAATACTTGAGCTATACATTTGTCCCAAATAACCAATTTTAATCTGTTTCAGGTCACATAAGACGTTACTGGTGCCAATTTTATCATAGACACGGACTATTCTCACAGCAGTAATGTGTGTTTAAAAACTATGATTCCGTGATACTGCTGCAAAAACGTTTCTCCGAAGAGCTATAGTGAATCGTCAAAGTCAATTATTATAGAGTAAGGTAGCTGTGAAACGGAAAGTCTAGTTCAGTAACATATGACAAAATCACTCAGAAACTCTTCCAGTACAACTAACGTGTTCCTGTTGTACAAAATATGCAAGCTGGGTTGCGTTCCTAAATTGTTACTGAGTGTACTTTGTAGTACTCTATAACAATTTCAGTATTCATAATGGTACATACCTGTTCCGTGCGTTCTGAAATAGAACAGTGGTCCTAGTAAGTAATCCTTCTGGAACGTGAAAAGTACACTTTTCTTTCCGTGCTCAAAACCATGGTACAGAAGTGTTGCCAGTTATCATTCTCATGGTTCACTTTTTGTTTACTCTATTTCGTTATCAAAAAGTGTTAAAAACTAGCAGAATTTATATTTTTCACGGTAAGTGGGCTACCTCGTGTCCATAACGTTTCTTATAATAAAAGAATGGTCGCAGAAAACGCGATTAGAAATAAATGTCATCGAGTGTCATTACATGTAACAATTTAGGTGTTCGAAAAATAAAATTACACAGTATTTCAGAGTAAAATTTCATCTGTCAATCTACATTCCATTGCTCAGTACGGTGTACAGTGTTACATTACTACTAATAAACGCACCCCCGCAGTTCCGTTACGTTGTTTTCATATTAGCTTCAATCTAGTATTTGTTCATTATATTGATTTATTGTTTCTGACACGATGTCCAGCTAATATGGCTTCTTGTCAAGTAGCAAGCAAGATGACAATCGTGTACCCGATCCTCAGCTTGTTCACAGATCAGAGTCATAAAAAATCAGAATTTTAGTAAAACAAAGAGCAAAAACAAGCAGTTGAAAAAATAATGATTAACGATGAGAAAAATGAATATGTGGATACCCCGCTGAGGCTGTGTACACGTGTGTATGAACTTCTTTGTAATCAAAGGTACACAACGTTGGCACTAGTGTACAATTCGCTAATTGTGACTCGCTTGCATTTCGGCACTCGACCATATGCAATTCATTACGTGACAATTTTCCATGTATACATTCATAATGTTACTGAACTAATCCGATTCTATCTCTTATCTCTTTCATACTCGCATACCTACAAATCTGTAATCGTACGGACTGTACTTCAGCTGTTATGAGATTATTTGTTACAGGTACTACTAATAAGTTGTTTTTCTGTATATAGCTCGTTTTGAATGACGAATAGTTAGACATGTAGTCTTGACCAACGATGTCATTACCTAATGTAACTTGAGTTTCACGATGTTCCAATTTCAACTTTTGAATAGCCCAGTTTTTGTTGTGGTGTTTGAAAGAATTAATGAAAACTTAAGTTAGGAAGAATGTACTTCAAACTGAAAATTATCTTTTGAAAAATCGTGTATTCTCCTGTAAAGAACCTTAAAAGCTAATCAGCTAGGTAATAACTTGAGTTATAAACCACAATTTTTGCGGGTGATTTTTTTAATTTTATGAGAACAGATGTAATTTCTATTTGAAAAAATCTGTAAGTTGTCCTCTAGCTAGTTTAAACTTTTAAGGCTCTACGCGTGAGATTACAGGATTCTGCCAATCCCAACTTAATAATAATTCCTGGTTGAAATATTTGATGGTAATACTTAATATTCCGAATTCCTGCTAGTGAATAGCTTACATAATATCTCTGAATCAAAAATCTCTAATTTTGAGTAAAATACGAATAACGGCTCTGAATGTATTACATCTGTTGGAAACGCGTGATATTCCGTTCATGGGTAACTGATTTTTCGTTCTTTGGTCATGACTTTATATATATTTCCTATTTATCACTAGTTAAGATATGAGACCTGTTACATTTTTGTATGAATACTTTGTGCTAACAGATTTTACCCAATTTGTAGCGTAACTAGAATGGCTACCGAGAAACACGGAAGTAAATAGCTTTTATCTGTAAATTTCGGGGAATATGGAATACCATTTTTGTTGGTCGAGATAAACTCACAATAACACAGCAATTATGTCTCATATTTTGGAAATTAATAACTAGTGGTATTATCTAAAAGTATCGCTTGATGAATTTAGGAAAAAAGTCCCCAGATTGCAAAAAAAAAATAAGTAAAAATTGACACTTTAGGTGCTAAACAAAAGTGGAGGGTAATATGGGATAAAGGAAATAGTAAGACGAAATGAACAGAAACCAGTTTAATTCTTCTATTATAACCAGTTTATTTGAAAAAATCGCAAACGAATGCATCCCCCCAATACCGGAGCCTGCTACAAGAGCCCATCCTTCGCAGATAACACACTGCAACCATACTTCTCTACTACGACTCATGGTAAAAGTTTCCTGGCACAAATGCATTTTGCATTGTCAGAAGCTGATTTAGTACTCAGATAGGTAGATCATCTGATTCGTCGTATACAATAACAGGCTCCGACTGAGAAGATGACGATGAAGTTTATAGACGGTTTTGTTTTGTTTTTCCGGAGGAAGATAAACGCAGGAGGCACAAATCCTTCTGCAGCATTCATGCACAATACCGCTGTGACCAGGGATCCTCGTCCGGCCGACGTCAGTGCGCCCACTTGTTTTTTTGCCTCCCTTATAAACTACTTCTGGGCACCTGGACTGCACAATACACAACCCCGTCTCGTGCAAAATTGAAAACGGATGCGGTAAGTTGTTACGCCTTGCAAGCTGGATCATCATAGATCGCATATCAGTCGAGTCAAGCCAAAATACTTCTTATTCATTTTCAATAAATATTTCACAAGTTCTTTCTCCAATTCGGGCAACAGAGCGATGAAGAGTGGCACGAGGAATATGAGATCGTTTTGCAGTAGACAAGTAGCCTAAACTTTTACTCCTCACAGCCTCGATAGCTTTTTCCATATCTTCAGGATTCCACTGTTTCCTTTTTTTCGAACAAGACATCGGATCTGCAAAAAAAAAGTTTTTGAGAATCCTTACGCTTCTATACTATAGACTGTTGTCGCAACTATAGAAAATCGGCAAATATAAAGTAAACATATCAAGAAGTAATCCTAGAAAATTTATCTACATTTGAACAAAAATCTTCGGCTGATATGGAATACTTTATTGACGTGAAATATGGAATATTCCATAATACCCGAAACATCAGCGGTAGATATGATAAGACCCCAGAAATATATTACTTGAGTTAACTTGCCAATTGAACAAACAGTAATTACATTAGTACCTATATACACTTACCTGATCAAATGAAGGACTATTTTAAAGAAATAACACTAACAAAATAAGTCAGCAAAAAGCAGCATTCAAAACTCCTGAAAAGTGCAATACTCAATGATGCCAACTGCCAAAATTCTAAACGTTGTCAGTTGAGTTAATTCACATAGCGAAGCTGTAATAGACTAAATTATAGTACTTTAACTACGAAAACATACTCGTAGGTGACGCCTCCTGTTTCAAAAATAAAGCTTATTCTATATTACCCAGTCTATTCCATATTCTCCGAAATTACTCTAATTAATTGACCTAACCAAGCAAATCAAAATATAGTAACACAGAAATATTTAGTCTCGATTATACTATTCGTGGATCAAAATCTGCTCCGTGGGTCAAAACTGGTCAATCACAAGGCGTTTTTCAAGTAATGGATCTAATGGATATAGTCGATTTATCCTAAAATATATTTCAAACTAGCAAATAGTTATTCAGTTTGTGTGGTTTACCTACAAAAACCTATTTTGATCGGCGGATCGAAGTTGCCTACTCAGAGAGACTTTAAGCTCTGGTCAAACAATGGATCAAATCTGATCATACAATGCCTAGATTAATATGACAGCAATACCTGAGCATTTTATTGAAAATAACAGTGTCATTATTTATCTGAGAGAAATAGTTTTGTGAGATAAGTATACATTTTTAAAAATGCATCAACATGTCAATTCAATTGCCTTCATGTGGTAGGTATTTGAGTATGCATCTAATGGCGGATTTCCACCAAACCGACTCGTCGAGTTGCTGTTTTGTTTCCGAATATGAAAACTCCGACAGACAACACAAAACAGCAACAAAACAGAACCAAATCAGAAACGCTGTTGCAACTGAACAGACTCGACTACAGTCCTAGTTGTGTGTAAGTTGTCACTCCTTTCCACTAGGCAGACAGTGTTTTGTGTTGATCATGTGGCATGAAGATGATCTTTTCATCATGTTATGTGGATGGTTTATATTGCATTCTAAAGCAAAGAAAAGGAAAAAGCGTCGACAGCACAGGTACTGGGTGAGATCGCTGTTGACTACAAGAGAAAATAATGGCGCGGCAGAAATGCTTACTCAGTTGAAAACGGATGATTTTGGATTGCATGGCGAGTTGCGATCATCGTTTCATAATTTTGTGAGAATGTCCAGCACTGATTTTGAAAACCTGATAACTCTGATCGGCGCAAAGATTCGCAAACAAAACACAAATTACAGAGACGCTATATCCGTAAAAGACCGTTTAGCTATAACACTAAGATTCCTTGCTACGGGGGACAGCTATCAAAGTTTGATGTATTTATGTAAAGCATCTGCATCATCAATTTCACGAATTGTGCCCGAAGTTTGCAGTGCCCTATGCGAAGGTCTAAAGGATAATATAAAGGTAAGGCCACACTGTATATAGGATACTGCAACGAAAATATATTTTGACAAATAGTACGTACAGTAACTTAAGGTTAATTCTTTGGAAACATGTCCTGATTTGTATTATCGTCATGATTTGTATTCAGCCCAAAGGATGATGCAATGGCAACTTGTAAAACGTCATCACTCCAAGTTTGTTGTACTTCCGTCTCCGTCATTGCCGACTGGGTGTCAGATGATACAGTGTGACTGCTGTTAGGTGAAGGTGATGGCACGACGACTCGCATGGTTTCTGGATAATTGTAATAACCGATTCGAGCCTCATATAGTAGGTTATTTATTTTGTGTTGCACAGTAACTCTAGCATGTTCAGTTTGCAGATGTCTGATATTGCAGGCCACCATTTCCCCAAACACGTCGTATTCGTCGCGCCTTGATGTAGTTACTTGCCTGTTCTCAAATACTGACTTCATCATCTGAAAGACCTCCGTAGTCTCATTTTTGTCATCAGACTCAACACGTTTTTTCTTTCTTGAGCCAATTTTTGGAGTACTAAAAACATGTGGTTTCTGGGAAGCTTGTTTCTGAAAATATTCTGCACTTTCTGTATTCTCAACTGAAACATTTTTGTTAACTGACGCTGCAGCAGCGATTTTAGGCTCTTCCCTTGTATTTGCTGCAGGTGTGCCTATTTCCTCAGTTAACTGACATTCTGAAACTTCGCTTTCACTTTCATACTCATTCGTTGCTTCGGTTGTGCTTTGCATATCAGACTGGGTTTCTTCATCACCTTCATCTGACGAATCACTTCCCTGTAATTATAGAGTGCGCATTGAATTGGCTGAATTTCATAAAATGTGGGTTGTATAGTTTAAAATGAAGATTATTTTAGGAATAATATCAGTTGTTTGAAATCCAATATCAAGAAATCAGATATCGTGTCCTTTCGGGATTCTTCCTTCTTACATTTGATCATGGTCCTGAATTTTTTTGTTTTAAGGTTCCCGCAAATCCAGAGGATTGGAAAAAAGTTGCAAATGGATATAATACAATGTGGAACTTCCCGATGTGTATAGGCAGTATGGATGGAAAACATGTAATCATAGAATCCCCAAAATACAGTGGAAGTGAATTCTTCAATTATAAAGGGACTTTTAGTATTGTATTGTTTGCCATAGTCGATGCCAGTTACAATTTTATTTTTGTTTACGTTGGGTGCCAGGGCCGAATATCAGACGGAGGAGTTTTCAAAAATACTGGATTTGCCAAAGCATTGGAAAGAGATATGCTCAATCTGCCACAAAAGGCGGCACTTTCTGGAAGAGAAAAACTGGTACCATACGTCTTACTAGCAGACGATGCATTCCCCTTGTCACAAAATATAATGAAGCCGTATGCTGGGCACCAAGAACGTGGGTCAAGACAACGAATTTTTAATTACCGTCTAAGTAGAGCTCGAAGAGTCGTCGAGAACGTATTCGGAATACTAGCATCTGTTTTTCGGGTCCTTCGCAAGCCTATGTTACTAGAGCCGGACAAAGTGGAGAAAGTTGTTCAAACATGTGTTTTGCTGCACAATTATTTACGTAGAGATGTGGAATCGAAAGATAGATATACACCGCCAGGCTCCTTTGATTTCGAACACTTAGATTCTGGTACTGTAAGTGGAGGATTGTGGAGAAATGATCCGGAACCATGTCACTCACTTTTGCCTATAAGACGAATAGCAAGGAAACCAATTCAAGAAGCCCGAGAAATTAGAGACGAATTCAGCGAATATTTCATATCGGACTTAGGA